TTCTCGCACAGATCAAGAGTGAAGGGTATTTTGTTACATTACACAGTGTCAGGAGCCTGGTGGTGGCTCATCAGGTTTAAATTTTTGTAATCACTTGGTAAATTTATTAAAGACAACGCCATAGTCTTTATTTTTCCATCTGTAACTTATAGCAGCACTCAGAATGGTTACTTGAGTTCCATAATCCCTATCTCTAGTGTCTCTGGCAGAAGAGGAAGGGAAGATGATAGCTTTTAAGAGTGAACAGAAAGGGATCCAAGCCAGGATTCCTAAAACAAACAGACAGTGGCAATTAGGATGTGGACACAGATCATAACCTCACGTTATTGTGTCCAACACGACTGGAGCAGACAGCCACAGAGAAGCATCTGAATAAGTCTCAAGCTACCTTGTACTCAAAAGCAGCCAAGCCCCCTCAAAGGAGTAACTTTTAAAAATCACATTTAATCTGGAAAGGGCTAAAAGAGTTTTGGTTCTAAATCTTTTTGTCGTGGGGCTCATGAAACACAGATACTTACATATTTGCCATTTCAAATCATCTGTTGACTGCTATAACCTAAGGATTTGAAAAGACAGACTTTGGAAAGTTCAGACCTAAATATCACAAATCATCTGTTGACTGCTATAACCTAAGGATTTGAAAAGACAGACTTTGGAAAGTTCAGACCTAAATATCATATTTAGCATAAAATTAAGGAAAAACATTTGCATTTCAATTCTCCTTCAAGCAAAAATACAAGTTAAAATGCCACGTCTGGGATGGTCCCAAACGTGGCTCTTCCTCTCTGGTACTGCTGCTTAGTACCTTACAGCACCTGACATGTTAAGTGCCTGTGGTCATTCGGGCACGTGTCTTGCCCATACGCTCACCGCCCTTCCTTCAATTTAAAGCCCCACAGTTGGAGCAGTCATCTTTATCTCAGACATAGCAATGAGTAGAATGCTTGTTGCATAAGGGATGTGCCAGAGATCAACCTGTTATCAAGAGAAGGTACCAAACTCAAATGTAACAAGTACAATTCTCACCTGAATTTTCAGCGGTTCGATGTGATTCAGGTAAATATGTGCATCTCCCAAAGTATGTACAAAGTCACCTGGCTAAATAAACCCCATGGGAGAAAGCAAAACAGTCAGTTTTAATTCCATTACCCTAAAATACAGCATTTAAAAGCACATTATACAGAGTATGCAGACACCTCCAGTCTTTTCAAAGACAAACAAAAAAATTTAACCAGTGTAGCTTTTGAGAAAAGTTAATTCGTGAAAGTTGTATTATAAGCAACCCACACTGAAAGTTGTATTATAAGCAACTCACATAGGCTGGCTGTTAGCTCAGTTAGAGCACGGTGTTGCTAACACCAAGGTCCAGGGTTCAGATCCCTGGACTGGCCAGCTGCCCACACCCCTCCAAAAACCAAAAAACAATCCCACAATAACCTATATACACCTGTTGTTTATACAGACCAGAAGGATAGAAAGCTCCATGGAAGGTTACAAAGTGAGCTGGTTAATGTTTTATTTACACGTATCAAACTTTAAAACACTGAATTCTCTGCAGCTAATTTCTGTAGGTTAAAGACTCAGAGGTCAGGGCATCAGGCTGGCAACAGCTCTTCCCTCCAAGAGCAGCCCACCTTCAGGCCTGTGACGTGCGCGATCATGTACGTGAGAAGCGCATAGCTGGCGATGTTGAAAGGCACGCCGAGGCCCATGTCTCCTGACCTCTGGTACAGCTGGCAGGACAGCTCACCATTCACCACGTAGAATTGGCAGAGGGCATGGCACGGAGGCAGCACCATCAGAGGGAGATCTGAGGACCCAGCATGGAGGAAAATGAAGAGGGGTGGCAGCTTGAAAGAACTCAGCTATAGGCAAAGTAAAACAGGAGACAAACGGAAGCTAACTCATATGGTTCAGACCTTGAGGAAGAGCTACTGAGCTGCAGAATGCCCAAACCCTCAACTTCCTAGCACATCAAAAGCAGCTCATTCCCTCCACCCCTGCAGTGATGGTATGAAGCTGAGACCTGTCTTTCCACCAGCATGAGATTTCTGCAGATGTACATTTACAACTGAGGCAATGCTCTTCCATTCAAGCTGAAATTAAGGATTTGTGCAACCTTCCTGGCACCAAACTACAAATGCAGAAGAAATTATTTCATTTGCAGGGACCACAGGAAACTGGCATTTCAGGCACACCGTCCTGTATTGTCTTTATTGTAGATGCAAATATTCCACTCTGGGTATTTATTACACCCTGGTAAGAGTTCAGTTTTACAAGATAATTGTTAAAAGTGTTAACACGAGTTGGAGGTAACCTGAAACTTCATCTGCTCCAATTTAAAATGTTAAAACCCTACATGTAATTTTATAGGCAATTTAAGGGCTCTTTTTAGAGTAAGAATGAGTATAAATATACACAGATTAACGTCTTCTGGGCCCAGCTCCATGATCTGAAGGTGAAAATGGGATGAACTGCGAACTGCTGGGGGTCACACAACCAACCGTGTGGCTGGGGGCAGTACCCAGGTCCTGCTGCCCTGCGGTGCCTCTGCACAATGCCACATTGCTTCCCTTTGTGCCAACAGTACAGCTAGTGCCAAAGAGAAAGACTGGGATGCTTTCAACCTTTTGGATTCCAAGCACACATGATGATTCTTCTGTCGTCAGGGTTGGTTTTGATGGTGTCAACCACTTTTTGCAGCTGGTCTACTCCTTTACCTGAATAATCTGTAGAATTGTCAGAAAGAGAGGACACACACACCCGTTAATCACAGCATCTCAGGAGATGGCCTTTGAGGTCATCTGTTACAGCCTTTCCAACAATATCCCCCCCGCTTTATGTATGGTTACAAGACATCCAGTGCATTCTGCAAGTTTCTCAGATCTCTGGTTGAGTTCAAGGCCCTATCTGAGTTCTTGGGTCTATCCCCTGGAGCCATGACAAAGTCTTATTTTCTTTTCTATACACGAGGCCTTTAAATATTTGGTTTGTCGTGGTGCCTCCTCCTGTCCTTCCCCCTCCCTCTATTGTTAACCCCTCCAGTGTCAACAATCTTAGTTTCCTCTAGTGGTCCCCATGAGACTTAGTCTCTGTTTCCACCCATCATTCTTGTTACACTTCACTGACAAGGTAGTTTATCCTTGTCCCACAGAAAGAATTGGATCCTAAATAGAATACAGCATTCCAAACACATTCCAACAGAACTGTGGGTTCCTTTCTATGACCTAGGAACTATCCTGCCCACAGTCCACCTAAAATTACATTACAATTCAACAGCTAAACACACAATCAGGAAACCTCTATAATGAGTACATCACCTTGTACTTCTCTCCCATTTCTGGTCTCTGGACTTTGTTTGCCTTCCATCTAAGATGGAACTGGAAACTGAGCAGTGAGTGGTTAACTGAAGCACAGAACTTCATTTTGCTGTGGTTAAACTACCACTTCCTGGTGTCAGACAACATTATAGTCCAGTAGTTCTCAAATTTTTTGGATGAAAGTCCTCTCCCTCTCACAATCCCAATAAAGGTAGTATAAAAGATTTTTAAAAGATGAACTATGATGGAATATTTCTGTATGTTGATTTGGTGGTGGTTCCACGAATCTACACATGTGCTAAAATTGCATACATACACACACAAATGAGTGCATGTAAAATTGGTGAAATCTGATAACTCTGCATATTGCACCAATGTTAATTTGTGCAGCATGTTACACAAATTATTACGATGGAGGCAAACTGGGTGAAGGCTGTGGGAGACCTCTTGTACTTTTTTTTTTTTTGCAATTTCCTGTGAATTTATAATTATTTCCAAATAAAAATTTAAAAACAAAAAAGACAAATTCCCCCACTGAAATCCAACAGCTAAACATTCATACAACTCTAAACCAAGGCCATAATTTTATTAGGCCCCTTAAGCAACAAGAAATCATTGAAAACTAGGCAGGATTTAATGCACCACTAGCCAGGAGAGAAGCCTCTTATCCTAAGAAGGATGCTCTAGAACAGCAATCACAGGCTAACAACCTGTAGAAGGTTTACCCGCAGCAATAGTTCAGCCCACACAGGGTTTTTATTGTGGTGAAGTACACACACATAAAATTAAACTGACCGTTTTAAGTGTTCGATTCAGTGGCATTAAGTGTATGCACACTGTTGTGCAACCATCACCACTATCCATTTCCAGAACGTTTTCACCATCCCAAAGTGAAACTCGGTACCCATTAAACATCAACTCCCCGTTCCTTCTTCCCCCCAGTCCCTGGTGACCACCATTCTACTTTCTGCCTCTATGAATTGTTTCCAGATCCACACAATATTTTTAAAGTTCCTGAAGTTGAAAACATTTAAAAGATCTCCTGGGGGGCCGGCCCGGTGGTGCACTGGAGAGTGCGCTGCTTGGGAGTGTGGCGGCGCTCCTGCCGAGGGTTCGGATCCCATGTAGAGACCGGTTCCCGCTCACTGGCTGAGCGTGGTGCGGGTGCAACACCGAGGGTTGCGATCCCGTTACCGGTCAGTAAAAAAGACAAAAAAGGAAAAAAAAAAAAAATATAACACTGCACTCTTACCAATGTAGCTAAACCAGCCAGGCCAGGTTTTAGGCTTTTACTGAGGAATTCTGACAATACTGAGCTCAAATCCCTCCAGTGGCTGGAGGTGAGGTGACTGTCCCCTGTAGATGAGATGCATACCCTCCAGCTTGCTGGTCTCTACCCAGCCAGCAAATTGTCACTTCCTGCGTGCACTCGCATCCAAGGTGCCCATTTGCTTTTGCAACCCCTGTTCTAAGGACAGGTGCGATAGGGAGAGCCAAAGGACGGGGGTGGGCTCTGTGATACTCAGCAAGTGATACAACCAACTGTGATGACGATCAAACCCAGGAGTGAGATGTTTCATTCTTCTCCATCCCAGCGGAAGGGGTTAGAGAGGGTGACCCTGGCACTGTGTTATCACACCAGCGCCACCTACAGTGTGCTGGTGGCTCAGCCTCTAAAGGGGTGATTGAAGCTGTCACAAGGCACCTGGGCATCCTGTCCCACAGATGAACTTCCTTTCTATCCTCTTCCCCAACAGACACCAACCATGCAGCTATCTGTTAATGTTACAGGTATGGAAAGTGCCAAGCACCCAATAAATGCTAATCAATAAGAGTATAATGTGACCTTCATCATGGTTAGTTGTGGCTTCTCCACATGAACCTGGCACAGCCTGTCACAACATCAAGATTATACCTGAGCTCCCCAGACACTGACTGCTTATCCCCCAGATTTTATCTGAAACGATGGAGCAAACTCAGCCTAGGAAGGGCACTGGGGAAATTGGAGGCATTCCTGTCTCCTCACCTGAATTCATATCTGTGTATTCTGCCCCAAAATGCCTCCACTGGAAGCCATAAACTGGGCCGAGGTCCCCTTCTACTCTGGTGGAGAATCCCAGGCTGTCCAGAAAGTCTCGGGAACCGTTGGCATCCCAGATCTTCACTCCCTTGGAAGAGAGTTCTTTAGCATTTGTGGATCCCTGGAAGAGATGAGAGGAGTGGAGCAGGCATCCAAGTGAGTCCTGTGCCACCTGGATTGATCCCAAGAGCCTCCCACCCTGCAGGCCTCCAGCCCTGCTGACATGCTGGGGACAGGTGCTTGACACCAACCATGTGCAGACAGTCCTATCTTCAAGCAGGCTGGTCCCAGCCCAAACTTTTGAGGGCCTACAGGACAGTCTGATCCCTTTTTTGGAATCACCCTCTCAAATCTTTTCTCCTATTCCTCTTGAGTAAACTTTCTAGACTAAACACCTCCACATTGTTTACATATTTCCATCTCATCTGACAGTCTTATGTTTATCTAATATGTTCTGTGTCTAAGCGTGATACCCCAAAATGAATTTAAAGCCTCGTGTGCAATCTGTTCAGTGTATCTTATACCTGACATAGGATATTTCTAATGATCAGACTAAACAGTATGAGTTTTTCTGGCAACCATCAGTCACACTGATCTAAATTTAGACCTTAGTTCATTCACATATGTGCCACTCTAAAGTTATGTTTACCCCGTGTATACTTACACAGTTGTGGTTCTTTGGGGTTTTTTTTTTTTTTGCCAACTACAAAGCCTTGTGTTTATTTTCTTACATTTCATTCCAATAGATTTGGCCCATGACATCCTAACCTGTACCCGGACTGTGCACCCAGGTCAAGGACAGACCCCCATATGTTTCTGGTGCCTCTGGGCATACTGTGCTGTAATGGTTACAAGCAAGGCTTTGGTGCCATGTACACTTGGGCTCTGGGCCTGGCCCTTCCACCTACCTTCTCCAGCCTCAGTATCCTCATCTGTAAAAGAGCACGTGAGCAGTATTTGCCTCATATGATTACTGTGAGGATTAGATAATGCAAGCAAAATGCCTGCATTATCTAATTAGATGCTAGCTATTGCGTGGCCCTATCTTCCGTTCTGTCCACAGATCCCTAGCTGCAGTGCAGGTACATTCTGACTCCTGCATTTGATGGAGTCACCGGCAGAGTAAATGTCAAAGGTGAGTTTGACGGTCTTGGTAAGGACTTCACCTCACTTCCTCCATTTCTATTGTTGAGTTTGTCCTAATTTTTTCACTTCCAACAAGCCATTTCTCAAAGTTTCACATACTGCTTCGAAAGTCTCCCCTTTCCATCCATTCAGACTAGGCTCTGGGTAGTTGAAGGTCCTCTTCTGAGGTTTCTGATAATGCATTTGGAACTAGAGGCTCACTGTTGAGATAGATCAACACAAACAAATACCCCAGGAATACAGAACTAACAAAGATGGGTTGGATCTAAGTCTAAACCTTTCTAAAATGGGTAAGAAGTCTTGGCTTTGGTAGGGCCCAAGACTATACAAGCCACACCACAAGCTCTACAGACAGGCTCCCAACTTCTAGCATGGCCCAGAACCAAGCCCGTCTCCTCAGGCACCCTCTGACTAGCACTGGACAGTAAATCACTGGTTCTGGACCAGGACACAGAGCTCAGGTGTGGCTGCCGCCTGTCATCACAGCACTCTAGCCCTTGCCCAAGGCACCTCCTCAGTCCTTTGGAAGAGGCAAACCTTGTTACTGAAGAAACTCTTCTAGTTTATATGAAGATGGGTACTCAGTTGGTGTCTACATTCAGTGATCAATCCAGTTTGAGTGCCTACTATGTGGTGGGCTGTGTTCTAGGCCCCGGGGATGCAACAAGGAATGAGAAACAAGTTCCCTGCCCTCATGGCGCTTACAGCACATTTTATTTATTTATTGTCTGCCTTCGCTCTTCTAATGGGCGAAAGGGAAGACTGACATTATACATCAGATGAAGGTGGGGAGAATCACACTCTTGGATAAGATCAAGGAAGGCTTGCTGAGAGACTCGAAGGAGGTGAGGGCGCCAGGCTACATGTTCCAGGGAGTGGGAGCTGTGAGTGCCAGAGCTGTAGGCGGGAATGTCTCCATGTGCTCAAAGATCAGCACAGGGGCCAGGATGGGTGGAGCCCAGAGAAGCAGCCAAGGCCAGAGCTTAATAAGTTAAGTGAATGGGATCCACTAAGGGCTTTGGGCTGAGGAGTCACATAATCTGACTTTTAAA